ACGACATCGGCGGCCCATTGCTGAACCTGGAGGGGCGTGTGGTCGGCATGTATTTCTATCTGCAACTCATCGGCAACTTAGTCCTGTACTTCGCGATCCCCACCGCAACCATCAGAGGTCTGTCGCCAACAACGATCTTTATTATCAACTAATCATTGATTCATTTTGTCTTAAATTAACAGAGTTTCTGGAGAGAGCCAAAGCCGCCAATGCTCTCTCAAATAATGCTCCCATTCCTCAAATTATTAAAGCCGTATCGCGCATAAGCCCGTACCACGCCCTCCCGAACCCCCAATACCCCGATTGGGCCGATGATAGCAATAGACAGCAATACAGTAGGCCTCCCCTCTATTCGAAAGACGCCTATTTGAGCGGACCCGTTGGCCCTAAAGGTGCCGATACTCCGGGTAAAACCCCTTCTGGGAAATCGAAATAATCAAAACATCTCTTAATTCTCTAAATTCTTTGCTTTTTTCGTACTCATTATCATTTGAGTTTTGCTTTACAATATTTATTTAGTATTTTATTTATAATATAAATATTTCTTAATGGTTTCATTTTGTTGTTTCTTATTTTATGTTTTCTACTGTTTTGTGATTTATTAAAAAACAATTTTATTTTACACTTATTTTATTGTTCCGGCAGACCATGTGATGACACTGGTAACGTTTATATTTATTATCATATAATTTACTATAAACCTACGGTAATAATAAATATACAATTTAATGTATAATTAGATGCGAATTTAGAGATATTTTTGTCTGTACAGAGTTTTTAATTATAATTTAGTGATAAATTAAATTACATTAAAATAAATTAAAACAGTTTGATAAAATAACTGTAGAATAGGATATAGGATCTAGTAATTCTCATAAATCATGATGTAGTACTTTCTCAAAACTTCTATTCAATGAATTTCAAATGAATTACTTTTGAGCATGAGCTGCACTTTTAGCCTTATATAACGTTGTATAGAGATTCAATTCAATGAGTTGTTTGGTGTGATAATTGTCACGAGTGTTGATATTTAGGAAACAGTGGCCGATGTTGTAGCGAACCCTTTGCTTATCGTATTCATAGATCGAGATCCGAATGGGAAAGTTGTCGTTAAACACATCAAACTTCTCTTTGTCGTTAAATTTAATTAACTTTGATTTCTTAGACTTAATCAAAGTGGTCTCAAAGTACTCATCACACGTCTGTCGCTGTGGTTCATCCTCTGAATGCGAGCCCTCGGAGGTCACGGATCTACTCGTGGGGTAAATTCTGGCGAACACTCCTTCCGGTATGAGCTTATCATTGGCTGAATAACCGCTTCGGCGAAGATTTTTGGCTTTGATTAGTGCCACCGAAGCGTACTTTTCATCGGTTGTGACCGACAGTACAAGCGTTGGGATGGTATCCATCTCCGAGTCCACCGATGAGACCGATTGCTGTGAACGCAGGGAATGCCGTTTGGGTTGTACTCTATCCGTCACATATCGCTCGTTCTTTTCGTACAAAACATCATCGCTTGAGTCAGAGTTATCACTACTGCTCTTCGCCTCGGATCTGGTCCTTTGGAAACAATGTTTTATTTTGACATTAATTATTGATTCACACATTCATTCGGATTGCTATAACTTATATCAAAATACTAGATTTAATATTAAAAGCATATAATATAATATAACTTAGGGGATTCTAATTTTAATGGTTATTTTTCCTGTGTATAATTGAAAAATAATATAAATTTTAGTATAAGAAATTAATTAATTATAAATTATAAATTAATTATAAAGTAAAGCATATATTATTTTTTATTTGAATTTAATACCCATTTGTAGTGAACTCACAGTTTCATACGTTTAGTATTGGGCGATAAGACCCCGGACTCAACCGATTCCTCACAAATGCTATTCTTTTTCTTCGATTTCTTTGAGCGATATTTCATTAATAAGACGACCATTACTATGAAGGCAATGAACCCAATGCTGACCAAAATCACTAACAAATTGACACCTATTTTGAATGATTTTATTATAAAATATCATTTAATTAGTTACTTTGTTGTTCACATCACTTATAAGCACTTTTATCATTGTATTTCAATGCATTGTGTATTTGTTAACAGAATTGTTGAAAATGTTTATATTTTACAATTTTTACATTTAAAAACTTTTTAATTCATTTGAAAGCCTTGAGTTTTGTTTATAATAAATGGCTTTTTTGTTAAATCCATAGTGAATAATGCGTTAATTTTAAGTACAGAATATATAGTATTGTACACGTNATACAAGATAAAATTTTAATAGATTTGATCTAAACATTTTCTACCTGATATTTAAAGATTATCAAATATTTAACTTTACTTATTGGAGTTAGAAAATATTTTACTTGTAATAAATTCCAGAATATTAAGTAATAATTTAATTCTCACATTGTTTGAACAAATAATTTATGATAGGATGTCATATCAAAGATTAAGATTTTTCGTAAACAATTCATAAACTTTCAAAATTGAATCACATTCTGATGTAATTATGTTGTATCATAATTTTGTAACACTGACTTATTAAGTAGACAAAATGCTATATTAATATGAATATATCATATCAACTAATAACTAAATAACTTTTTAATTAATTATTCCAAATTTTTAAAAATAATTTAATTTTAGCACTTACACTTAATATAAAATTTTAATTTGTATATAAATTTGCTACAAAACATACCGTTAGTGAGTTTTCCCATTGAGATTCCCAAAAATTTGCTTTCATTTTCGGTATCAGAAATCATTTCTCGATTCAATATTGAATAATCAGTGAAAACACTGATATGCTGTACATTGAATGCAAAGAATAGCACAAACAGTGGAAAGGGAGGCCTTCGAGTAAAGTCGAGGCACAGAATAACTAGAGAATTGATATTGAAATATAAATTACATTATTTGTGAGCCTTATTATCCAATGCAATGTCGTAACAAAGAGCACAGGTAGTCGTAAAGTGTAATTAGAGTTAGGATTTGATATTTAAATGATTTATTGCATGTTTTAATATCTGTTCAATTAGATGTCCTGTTTGCTTTCAATTCAATGTCCTTTTGAATACGCCTATCACTACATTAAAAACCATGTAATGCTCTAATGGTGTAAATGTTACGCGTAATGAATTTATATTTCAAACCTGTATCAATTATTCTATGTTATACATAACTTATAATTTACATAACTATGTTATAAATATATTATTATAGTTGATATATTATAATATCACATAGCTACTAATAAATTTATTTATATAATTTATGAAACAATTTATTTAAAATTAAATAAGTCTATAAAATATAAAGTAGTTTATTTTTGGTACAATTTATATAAAAATCATAACCACGTTATATATTGTATATAATAATAAATTTATAATGTAGTCATCATCTGCTGTATTAATAGTGTAGGTGTTATCTAACATCACACCATTGCATTTACTATACAAAAGATTTTCAGTCATTTTATGCAAAAATTCAATATCACAATAATATTTGTAAACAGATATAACAAATACCAAGATAGTTTTTGCTATTTTAATAGAAACTTTTACTATAATATTACATAACAATTGCACAACTTTCCAAATTATTATTTATCTTCAAATTATCCATGAATACTGTATAAGGCTTACAACAGTTGATCATATATTTTCTCGCAAATCCGTATTCAAGTCAATTCTCTATGACATCATATCTACTGATATTGTATTTAAGGATTAAATAATATGCTTTACAACATACAGCATATGACAGCTTCTATCTTTAGTCGGGATAACTTGAATAGCTTTTGAACGGATAATCCAATCCTTAATCGGTTTTCACCAAAATGTAGCTGGATAATGTCGAAATTTAGTGGTATGCA